AAGGAATAACAAGTGTAATATCCACTAAAGCAAAGCTTAGGTATATAACACCAACAGAACAATCGATCCAAGGAAGATCCCTGAGCCCGTGGAACTGCTACCGTAACTGTGAAACTGCCTATACAGAAGCTGAAACTAAGCCCCGAACCAAACTTCGAACCAACCCGCCTCCGACCGAGAGAAGAACGAGAACAACTCCCTACACCATCACAACCCGAACTCGTCTAATACCACTAGTCAAGCTCGAGTGTTCCGGACCCCCGTCCCAATACCAGAGAAGCGGAAGGAGAGAGCGGCTCGGTCCAACAACACCAACTTCCCCGACGCAAAAATGCCGCATCCGTCAATGCCCCGCCCACCCACTGAATCTCACACCTCCCAACATGCCAACACCCCGCAAACCGCCAACAACCAGAGTCCCAAAGCCCCAACTAAGGCCCCACCAAAAAATCGAGACCGACCGAGGGGAACACTCCAATCGCAGACAAAATTGCAGAACTAGGGCAATTTAGAGTGTTTGACTTGGGCAGTAAGTTAGCATATGAGAACATGATGAATGTTGGTGGGATTATTATTTTGGGTCACGTAAGTTAGCATATAAGAACATGATGAATGTTGGTGGGATTATTATTTTGGGTCTCCTCCTATAAATAGTACTACATGCTCTTCTTTCTCTGCACATACAGATATATAGCTCTCAACAGCAAAGGATTATGAGAATACGATAGACGCGAGAGAGGAAAAAAAATCATAGGCAAAGACGAATACATAATTTGAGAGGATAACGGGAAAGACACACATATATCAAGAATAGGGAAAGACTTTTGTATGCAACTTAATTAATGAAAATATTCGTATTTTGAACTGATATAATTACATATTTAGGTTTATTCAATTCTATCTAAAGTTCTGAATATGCATGTTAAATTTCTTACAAACATTGCGTACTTCTTTAACAAAAATACATACTTATATTATGAAATATCATTTTTTTTTTTATTTTAAAGAGTAACATTTGCAATTACTCAATTGAAAAGAATGCCTAAGGTTTCGCCGATTAATTGGTTGCTAGGACGGCGATGAGGGTCGCCGTTATTCGCCGGTGTTTTTACAACTTGGGCGAGCCTCTGGCGCTTCACTGGGGTGATTCGCGGTCTCGTCTCTCTTTATAAGGGAGCATGGGTGAAGGGTTTCGCGGCGCTGAGGCTTTGTTTGGTTCGGAGGAAACGAAGGGGAGGGGAAGGGAGAGGAGGGAAATTTTTAGTTTTCCCTTGTTTGGTTCGATTTTAAGTAAGGGGAGGGATTAAGATTTTCCCTTCAAATCCCTTGGAAGAGGGAAAATACACACCCCTCCAAAAGTGGGGGAATTTGGAGGGGAAGGAAAATTTTTAACATCAAATTACTCTTTTGACCTTATTGTGAATTATTTTATTTTTTTTCTTACATCATTAAGGATATATTTGTCATTCTAACATTATTTTCCTTCCCCCTCCATGTTCTAACCAAACAAGGTTAATTATTTTCCTTCACCTCCCTCTCTACAAAATCTATCCAAACAAAATAAATTATTTTCCCTCCCTTTCCCTCCCCTCCCCTCCCTCC